AAGGGTTTTACAAGGTTTTTTTTTTCTAATAAGTAGAAATCTTGAATTCAGAATCTCTTTTTTACAATCTCTCACATTTTACCATCCAAGTCAATCATCTACGCACAATTTTACAAGGTTTTGGTGTGAGAATTCGGACTGATTATATTCGTTGACATGTGCCCTGTGCCGTGTTCATATGCAATCAGTTTTTCCTCCCTCCAATACAATTTGGACATGTTGAGCGATGATTTGTTAATGATTGAAGAAACAATGAGTGAATATCCTTAATTTCCACTAAATTAGGTGAACTACAGCCTCATTTGACTATGTAAAAGTTTTGACATCAAAACGATCAAATTTCATATCGTGGAGATGCAGAATTGTTTCCCCGATTAGGCTTTGAGAAACAATTTTCTTGGATTCTCCTGAAACGGGGAGATCATGTCCCTTAACATCTATCTTTTTAGCAATAAAATAGGGGAAAATAATCAGATTGACAAAGATGCTAACCCTTGTTTACAATGCCATCGTCAGTTTTTTAACAAATCATGAAATTGTTAGGATTTGCTGACAGTACAAACGAAGCCAAGTCAGACCAAAATAGTAGATTTATAAGGCCAATTGTTACTTCCATAAGGCCGAATATTGAGATAGTGATATTGTCTTAAAACATTAAATCGCTTCTGCTTGAGAAAACACTACTAAGAGCAAGAACTGCATCTTATTTTCGCCTGCAATAAGCCAAAAAGCAAGAATTTTAGATTTGATCATGTATTGGACGCTAACTTTGTGATCTAATTTTGTGATCATATCAAAATGTTCCCCCTCTCCCACCACACTCGGCATGCATTATCATTTATTTTTTAACTCTCTTATCTTTGTTTACAAGTTTTCTATCTCCAACAGTTAGATATTGAATTTAAACATTGAATTTGATAGTAACGGAAGCCTTTAACGACCCTCCTCTCGTCACTAGATCGAATTGTCATTAGTAAGTCAGTGAGTGAAAACTATTAAAAAAAGGATTAATCTTTCCTACACTGACACAGTGTATACACTATCAGCATTGGATGAATGATAACTACACAAATTGAATTTGAAGTTTAATATTTGCACACATGTCATGAATCAAATGGTGATAATGTATACACTGTCAGTGTATATAAGATTTACTCTTTAAAAAAAAAAGTAAAAAAATGAGCCTTAATCATTTCTGGGTACTAATTTTCAGATACCTTCGCTAGAAATTAGGAATTTTTGGAGAAGATCAGTCTAGCTGTATAGAGTGACCCATTACCCAATTGAACCCAAGCCCGCAAATCATACGTCCCACAATATGAAGGAGACTGCAAGAGCTGAGAGTGAGCTTAGAGTTGAGACCAGTTGGAAGCCTTTCTTTATACGTTCATGCTGAGAGCGACATCAGTGAGTTTCATTTCCTATTAAGCCCTTGGGCCTATCAATAAAACCTTTCAGAGACTGGATCCACTGAACTGAGCTTCAATTGGGCTTCTTCAATTGGCCACGTGTGCTTGACCAAATAATCGATGTTCCTTTACAGGTATTTTGAGAATGTGAGAATGTTCAGAGAGTATTACTATTTAGAGCTTTAGTTTTGCTATAATTACTCAAAAGTCTTTTGATTCAATTAAACATTGTGGGGTCATTTTGTATAAGGAGGAGGAGTTAAACTAGCAATTATTATTTTGTTTCTTGGTAGGAAAATTAGTGATTTAATTAATATAAGTTTTATGTCCCAACAGCACATTCTTGCTTTTTTCTGTTAGGTTCTTTTCGGCTTCCAGTATATGTGCAGTTTTTTTTTATTGTTATTGCTTTACTCCCTGTCTCACCATGTTTGGCCTAATCTATGCTTGGTTGTTCACATTGATGTGCATTTTCTTCCCCATTTTTTTTTTGGTTTCTGATATGATTTATTTTGTTAAAGCATAGTTTTTGTTCTAGATTGTATCCTTTCATTCCAAACCACATGTGATATTTTACTCTAATTTAAGTTCTAAATTACTGTTTCTGAACAAACTAAGTTAGTTTTTATAATTTAAATTGTATGGTTTTGCTTGAATAGGGACGAGGCATCTGTTAAAAAAAAAAAAGAAGATTTACTGGGAGTATTTGGAATAACATGTGCAACTCTTCATTATTAGTGTTGAATATTATAGATTGTTTGATATACATGTATTTAGTAGCATAATTGATTTTGGTGGTAGTTGCTTCTTTATCTATCTATTATTTCACCTTCTAAGAAAGTTGATTGATCGATTGACATATTAGTTTGTATATTTGATTAGTTTTTTAGTGGAACTAATTGAGTAGGTTATGCATGATTGAATGGTTAAAGCCAATTCTGAATTATGTTAGCAAACACTATGAAAATAATTTTATTCTCAGGTGATTGGTTAGGATCTCTGGTTATCGTAGTCTAAAATGACCACACTAAAATAAAGCAAGCAAGTTGGAGGAGCAACATGATGCAAAAGCATGGTAAAAGTATGCTTTACTGATTGAGGAACAAAAAGAGTTTGAACTGCAAAAATGCCGAGAGACTCATAAAAGAAGAAAAGAAAATAGTATTGTAATCGATAGAGGTACATGCACATATAAAATATGTGTTTGGATTGCAATTTTTTTGAAGAAAATGTACTGTAGGGATTTTATATATGTGAGATAAAAAGATGATTGGAAAATGTGTTCATAGAAAACATAGAATTTTTTTTGTGAAAAATCCCTTGGTAAACTTGTTTCGGAATAATTCACTATGAATCAAGTTAATGACATTTTTACACACGTGATTGGTGTGTGATTATAGTATGGATTTTTCATATTATTCTACATTTTTTTTGCTTACACAATTAATTAACTTATAATTTACCAGGTGAAAAGCTTGTTGGAGACCATGGTGTAGTGATCAAAATGAGAAGCTTACATTGAAATCAAGTTCAGAACCTTCGTATGAAAGCTTATGGCTCTTTAGAATACCGGTTATTGTTGCAAGTTTTGGTATAAGTTATATCCTTATGCATAAGCTTATGGTTGGAAGTTTTGTTATATAGGTTCGTTTTGCAGAATGAGAATAGTCATTCTGGTTCCTTATGCCACATTTTAAGCATCTCATTATGGTTATTCAAATTTTTGCAGAATGAGAATAGTCATAATGGTGGAACCACTGAGCTCAGTGGCCACGGGGAAGAGATTTAAGTCCCTCCTTGGGTTATAGATGAGGGTTCAAATTTCACTTACAGCAAAAAAAAAATTCAAGAATGATGCCATAGTATCTCCTTGATCTAGTCAGATTTGCATATCTATTAGTTCCTAACACACAAGTCTCCTTAGGCTCTCCTCTCCTATAAATTAGGATAGAATACGTTATACAATTGTTATCGTTGTTGGAAAAAAAAAATAGTCATAATGGTAATTCAAATTTTTTGAGAGCAATTTGTGCTTTTATTACAATATAAATTACAGGATTCAAACAGCGTTATGGATATTGTAAATTTCAAAGTTGCAAATATACTAAAACTCTCTCAATTGATTTTATATCATTTGGAATTCTAAAGATTCGTGAATGTATTCATAAAATCGCGGGTGGGATGAAATATTTGAAATACAGGATAAAGCAAAAGAATAACAATAAACTACTCGCAATTTTAACCTTCAAAATCACGACGAGTGTAACATTCCTATTATTTTATGATAGAATAGCTATATAATCGAAAAAAATTAATGGCTGACCATAGTACGTAACTTTCAAATTCGGTGTAACCTTCCTATTTTTCTCAACGACTCTCTTTTTTATTTTTAATTACATCAAATCACTAGGTTTTGGTCTGTCGCCTAATCATTCAAATGTCTGCCTAAGAATTCAGTGTGTTTGGATAGGAGATTATTCGCCCAAATTTATTTGCTTACATTATCATTACAATTTTCAATATATTTTTTTATTTCACATACATCACATCACAAAAAGTGCTATAGTAAAAATATCTCAAATAATTTACAATCCAAACACACTGGACTCAAAATAATTGCAAGTTTAATTGTCTCGTGTGGTTTGCATTGAACCGAAGAACAAATGGACATAATCAGGAAATAAATGTACAGCCTGAATAATAGCAAAAGCTAGTTCAAACTCTCCTGTATTGCCCAACTTCCCAAACTAGTCAAAACCAAGAATGTCGATGTCTTGAAAAGTAAGTAGTACTTAAAACCTGTGTTTTCAAACTTGGACCGGACCGGCCGGTCCGACCGGTTGAACCGGGAACCGGTCAAGTGTCCGGTCCGAGTTGATCATCAAAACCGAAAAGATTCAAAACCCGGTCAACTCCGGTCAAAACCCGGGTTTGACCGGTACAGAACCGGAAAAACCGGTCCAACAGTAGCTTTTGTAAAAAAAGTTCAAACTTTTTTAATATTATATTTTGGCCCCCTAAATTGTGAAAATTTATTAATATACCTCAAATATTTCATACTTTATAAATATTGTCCTAAAATTTGATGTTATTTTTCAATTAAATCCATAATTTTAATTCTAAACTTGCTAATGTTTATTAAATAATATAAATTGTTACTTGATTGTTCTAATTTCTTTGTATTTTCTTGTTAAATATATTTGAAATATCAAATATATATGAATATACCTTTATTAATATCAATATATTATTGGATATTTTATATACAATAATTTAATTTTTAAATAATTTTTATTTATGACGTCATCCGATTCGACCCCTATCGACCCCCGGTCGAACCCATTGACCCCTGACCCCTGACCTCGGCCGAGTCGATATCCGGTCCGGTTCTGAAAACATAGCTTAAAACTGAGCAAATCAAGCGGATGGACAACCACAACATGGTCTTGGCCATTCTCGGATAGCAATCGGCGTCGCAAACCTGGCACAAGAAACCCATTCGCAAACTTAATTCAGATTCAGGATATGAGCTTTGTCCTCGAACCATTTCTCTGAAAAAAAATAGAACTCATAGAAATAGATAGTTGCAGCTTGAACATAATACTGTATACAGAGCACTTGTGGAGTAGCTCTATGCTATTGTGTACTTTCATGCTATATTCAATAAAATGATTACTTTTACGTTATACATATGATCTTTTGAATTTGCCCACTTGCAATCGCAACGTTCATAGCTAATTAATTTGCTACACTAATCATGAGTAAGCATACACTAGAATGCTTTACTGGATGATTGCGGCACTAATCCATTTGGAGACAGATTCATGTAACAAATTATTCTCAGACCTATAAATCGACCAAAATGGCCATAGAAGCGATGCACCTCTTACCTGTTATGCTTCTTTCAGTGTAGAAGTCATAGCGGTAACATGACCTTCTGAGCTCTCTGAATTCTTTCCCATTAGAATTGAAATGATCGACAAAGCGGAAGCGCTGAGTGGTGAAACGCCTACGGCTGTTCCAATTCCAGGTACCAAAGCCATTACAGTTGCGCTGACGGCAACATTCAACGTATGAGCCCCAATCTTCACAACTTTTTCCCAGAATTTTTGTCGGTCTTTCTAATTGGATACAAGAAAAGTCACAGAAAATTATCAATCTAGTTAGATTTGGAACTAAGTCAGCATACATATGTGATACATTCGCCCTTATTATGATGATTCATGAAGCTAACCATTGCTGAATATATGCATGTAGGAGCCAAGATGTATGCCATCTTAAAACAACATTAAAGAAATTTTACAGATTTATGATTAGGTTTAGTATTAACTAGAAATTAAAGTTGTATACATGTTCGAAAAAAAAAAGTTAATCAACTCTTGGAAAATGAGAAATCAAGTGCACCTGTAGAGAGTTGCATAAATTATTTTTTAAAATTATTGTATGCAGGAGTTTTTTAAGTAAACTAGCACACAAGCACGTGCGTTTTGCATTAAGTACTTTTTTTTTTTTTGGTAAGTTTGAGGTCTTGAACACGAAATCTCTTACGATGTAGTACATGTTACTTTTTCTAATGCTAGGTCAATATTAATTTTTTAGGGATTAATAAACACAAATTTGACTATTTACTGAGTTGTATGTAAGAAAAAAAGTTAGTTGAAAAACCTGATTAGTGCATTTCAAAATACACCAAATAAAACCACTGTAGAATCCAGATCATGAGTCCCAAAATTAAAAAATAAAGTTCATTCTTTTTTTAGTTTTAGTTTTTTTCTAATACTTACTTGTAACTTGAGCTTTCAAGAAGCTTCAAAGTATAGGAACGTATTCTACGAAAAGTTTTGGTTACCTTTGGCTGTTTAAGCATTTCAATAATTGCTTGAAAACTTCTTATGCTTTTATCCATTTCTGACTTTATTTCGGCAACTAGTTTGATTTTGTAATCCAAGTTTGCTGGTCTGATGGCAGCATCTGCAAAAGACAAAATTATGATTGTAAAACTGGTGATACACTCTAGGCTAAAGTAATGAATTTTGTGGTGTGGTTTTCATCAGGGGAGCTAGGATTCTTGTATCAAGATTTGCTTTGCAGAGGAAGATAATTGCTGAATCAATGCCAATCTATTGAAGAGCTGGCGTGTTTTGACTCGAGATACTGTGTGTGTGTTTCGTGCACAAAAAGAAAAATCTCATGGCCATCTCTTTCATGAGTGTCAGATACCAGCTACTATTTGGAGGAGAAAGGAGTTGTGTTTCGTCTATGAATACCCTTTGATCTGGAGTGAGGAGCAGGATTCAGAAATGGTTATGTCATTGTACTTGGATGCAGTATTCTTTCAAGCAAAATTCAGGAAAATTGATTTGAAAGTAACAGTTCAGTACATATGGAGACTGAGGAATAATGTTGTTTTCAAGTCTGCAAGAGCTGTGCCTGGAAAGATAGCGTATGCCTATCAGATTGTGTCTTGAGGTGAGGAATATTGTGGCCTAAAGTCAGATTTGTATCTGTTCATAGTCTTAGTTGATATTTTGTGAGGTGTGGAATATTATGTATCTATACATCTATGGAGGTATACCTTTGAGCTGATTCTTGAATTTAGTGATGAAATTGTGGGCTTGCAGAGTAGACAGGGCATGCGTCTTTTCTATCTCTTTTAGAGCGGCTTCCGTGAACATTTGTAGAGTTGCCTGGTACATGTGCTTCACCAGAGACTGGTAGATTGGCTCAATTTCCTGACAGATTTCAAAGCACAAATTTATCTGATGAAAAACAGCTGCAAAGGCAATTTCATGCCTGAAAGAATTTCCTGATATGATTATGTAATTACAGGATAAGGCTAGTTAACTACCTTCAATAAAGCCTTGCTAGCTAAGCAGATTTGGAGAATTATCACTCATCCAAACTTGCTGGTTAGGAGAGTTTTAAAAGCCAGGTATCTAAATAGAGAACAGAGCTTGAACAATGAACCTCCAAAGACAGCTTCTTGGGTATGGAAAAGCATAATAGGAGCAAGACCATGGTTCAAAGACTCGGCCGAGTCGTCTCGGGCCCTTCCGATACGATACCGGGACGATACGATTCCGAGATACTTGACTCATCGAGATGTCACCGTAAAGGGTTGAAATGGCCGAGTCACACCGAATTACTCCAAATTATCCCGAATCAACTTGAATTTTTATTATTTTTACTAATTTTTTAATTATTTTTGTTTATCATATTTTTTACAATTTTTAGAATATTAAATATTTCAAAAATTCGCGTCTTGCCCAGACCGATGTGGAACGGTTCGGACCGCGACCGCGACTTTGAACCATGTGCAAGACAGCTATTGAAGAGAGGAATGAGACATAGAGTGGGGGATGGAATAATGATACAGATTTGGAGTGACAGATGGATACCAAGATATGAGGATGGGAAAGTGACAACAATAAGAAAACAGGAATGTAAACTGGCAAGACTTGAGGAGCTAATTAGGGAAGGGAAATGGAATCAAGAACCACTAAATAGGTGGTTCCTAAAGGAAGACTTGGGAAAGATACTAGCAATTCCTCTGAGCTTACTGGGAGCTAAGGACAGAATGTTTTGGAAGTATACCAATCTGGCCAGTTTACTATAAAATCAGCTTATGCAGTGGAAAAGGACGAGGGACAACAAAAGCAGAGAATAGGAGCAAGGGGACACTATGAAAGTACCAGCTACCCACAAAACCAGTCAAAAATTTGGAAAAGCTCATGGTCCCTACAAATGAAGCATAAACTGAAACATTTTGTGTGGAGATGCCTGCTGCACAGCCTACCAGTAAACGAGCAGATTCATCAAAGAACAGGCCAAAGAAGTGGAATGTGTGACTGTTGTGGAGAGGAGGTGGAAACAGTGGAACATATGCTATTCTTCTGCGCAAGTGCTGCACTCACTTGGAAAATAACACCACTACAATGGGATGGCCTAAATGACATGAGAAGCAACTTTGTGAGATGGTGGGAAGGATTACTAGAAGCAAGAAAGAGAGAGATGGGGCTGGAACATATTTCATTAACTGTAAATATTTTGTGACAGATATGGAAAGCAAAGAATAGGAGAATATTCTCAGGGGACATGGTGGAAGCATGGAATACATTAAAAAAAGCACAGATAGAATGGACAGAATATATAGAGGCACATAATAGTGGGGAAGGAGGGTACATTCAGCAAACAAGGCAAGCACCTAGCACTGCAATCTGGACACCACCAGATAGAGGTGTAATAAAGATCAATGCAGATGCGGCCTTCTCAAAAGGAATGGATAGAACAAGTTTGGGAGCAGTGGCAAGGGACTGGACAGGGAAAATTCTGAAAGCTGAGTGCAAAAGCTGAGGTGAAAACAAGTGAACCACTAGTGGAAGAAGCGGCAGCAGTAAGAATAGGGATGATGATGGCCTAAGATGCACACTGGAATACAGTGGAAATCCAATCTGACTGTAAAACTATAGGACGTGCTCAGGGAAGAAGGTGATAAGGAGTCCAAGATAGCAGTTATACTGGAAGACATTGAGAAAATAAGAGATTTGTTTGAGAAATGTACATTCTCTTTTGTTAGTAGAGTAGGAAACAAATGTACACATAAGTTAGTAAAAGTTGTAGTTAAGCTTGTTAGAAATTTTAGCTGGGAAGGAGCCTTTCCCATGCGGCTCCATTAGAGTGCACAGACTGATCATTCGGATAGTTACCTTTTGTAACTAATCTTGTATTATCAAGCTAGAAATGAAATATAATTGCTTTGGACAAAAAAAAAAAAAACTACCTTCATTCTTCTCAATCTCTTAATTGAACGAACGTGAATCGTCCAATAGTATCTTTCAAGGTCAGTAGCATGGTTCGTAATATCAGCCGTTATCGATACGTATCGGCCGAGTCGTAATCGGAACAGAGGGGATCGGTACGATACCAATTCCTGAATCGCAGATATTACCATATCAACGACGACTCGCTTTGACTCAGCTAATATTGACCGATTCGAATCCGTGATGCATGATATCGGCTGATATATCTTAGTCCACTCGAAGTCGACTCAGATATTTATTTTTTTAAATTGTTTCTTTTTTGATATTTTCTAATTTTAGTAAATTTTTAAAAATTTTGGGAAACTTTCATGTGCTATAATGTGTGTATCACCCGATATTCAACTGATATGCCGCGATGGATGTGGAACAACCGAGACCGCGACGCAACCACGAAACATGGTTAGTAGTATATATCAGTCATTTGGACTTTAAATCATGTGCTTTTTAACTTTTAAGTGCTCAGACACCAAATAAATTTACCCAATTAGTCCAAAATGAAAGACTAGTGTGCAAAGTGTGTCAAGTTGAAGGTTGAGATGTAAAGTAATAATGTAGTACAAGTTCAAAGGTGTAAAACTCCTACTAATATTACTGATCATACTTGTGAAAATCCTACTAATAATATAGACGTTCTACAAATTATTATGGCAATTTTTTTTTCGATCAATGAGTGCACATCTGTTATATGTATATATATATATATATAGAGAGAGAGAGAGAGAGAAAGAGAGAGAGAGATTTCTACGTATAAAATTGAAGTTTTCCCTTGAGCAATTGGAGTCCTTGGGTACCAACCCAATCCAATTGTTGGGTAATTTTCTATAAAGAAACTTAATCACAATACATACCTTCAATAAATTGTCAGTCAGTCGCCGCTTATATTCATCCCTTTTAGTTTGATGATAATGTTGAGTATCAGCATCATACCTTAAAAAAAGAAGAAGAAGGTATAATCAGCAATCATTCTTGTGATATATAAACAAGGTATAATCAGCAATCCTTCTTGTGAAAGACATAGCTATCCAGTATTTTAGTAAACACTTTGAGTATGGATTTTTCCAACGAGTGCCTATTGGACATTTGTTAACACACTTAAAATTCACATAATTTGCCATGTAGATGTGTATATATACTAATAATTATTATCATTTTTATCTACTTTCTCTATCTAACCTTACCTACCCTCCCTTATACTTATTTATTTTTCCTAATTAATTTTACATGTTAAAAAATATGACATCTAAAATATAATCTTATTGGGCACCCGTTAAATTGACCCTTTTGAATATTTATCAATTGGATGAAAACAGTTTAGAGTAAGTCCCAGCTAGCCAGTAGATTTTGGGTTAACTGGTTCGACTTAATTTACAGTTATCTAATAACTATTAACTAATGAGGCTCAGGACAAACCAGTTCTGGAATAATACTAAAAATTTTCATCACAGCCATCACCTATGAGACAAGGGTATCACTTACCAGTAACTAACTAAAAGCTGAGACTTTATATAATTTTTGATATACTTACTTGGATAAATACTTCATCCAAATTTTACTGACATTCTTTCCAAAGTGTAGTTCGAGTTCAGGAGACACTCCAACCTGCTTCTCTATCTTAGTCCTCTCTTCAACCTGCTCCTTTATCTTAGTCCAGGACTGCGTTGATTTTGAAGTGAAATGAATATGAACAGGATTGTCATTTCTATCACTTCCAAATTGCAAGAATCATCCAGTCGGTTACCTCATCCTTACGAAAACTCTTATACTTCTCGTCAGCAATTTCTTCGCAGCGTACTCCAGAAACCATGATCTACAAATTTGTTGGGGTGGATTGGAGGCAAAGGAAAAAAAAAACGAAATAGTCATGTTTGCAAGAAAACAACAGAGTGAATATATGTTATATGGATAGAATGGAATGTCGACAATATGTCAATAACAGGTAAAGGGGGTAAATGGAATATATAGATGACTAGATTTTTTTTTTTTTACTCTGAGTTGTGGTAAGTCAAGGTCCTTCTCCTGCTTAATGTCACACCAGATTTTTTGGGCAAGACCAACAAAACCTGAAGCTGGAATCTTCTCACCAGATCTAGTCCAGTGCATAATCCGGTCTTTAAGGCGACCCACCTTTTGAATGGAAAATGCAAATCATTAACGTTGATAACACTTTTGACCAATCAAGCAGCAAACTTTTAATCGTGCATTATTTACTTAGATCCTAATGTATAGGAAGTAATTAGATATGAAACAAACTATAGATACCTCTTCACGGAACGCATCCTCCTGGTGCACATAATGAGGCAATGTTTCCACTTTAATCTGGGCAATCACCAAGAAGATAGCAGGGTAGCACTTAACATAAGCCCAATATGAACTTGGTCTATAGGGACATTAATCATCTCAAAATCAAGTGGGGGCTGACAGGGATAGGTCCAAGTGGATTCTTAGGTCGACGGAGACTGAACCACCGTCGGACTAAACAGGTACTTAGTAAAGCTGCTGAATTTTTAGTAAAAACCACATATTAGTAGTAATGGATGGGAGATAAAGTTCGAATCTTTAATCTCCCATCCTACAAAGGCACGTAAAAGCCATTGTGGTGGCCAACAACTCAATAGCCTGTTTGTTATTTTGAGGTTATCTTGCTTTCAAACTTTTTATAACAAGCAAGTGAACCTAATCGTGAGAGGATTACTTGTAAACTTGGTCCGACTCTAATCTATTCTGACAAATGTACCAAAAGAGCCCTCCCACCTCCCCCCCAAAAAAAAAAAAAGAGGTTAACTATAAGAAGGGTGTAAAGTATATGATAAAGTTTTGATGTTTAGTTTCTTTCGAGTCAATAAGTCATTGATGTTTGATTTTAAAAAGATGGATGCATTGACTTTGTTTTAATTTTTAAGGGAGGAAGCATGAATTGGCATTCATTAACAATTAAATATTGGAGGGAAAAACTTTGAAGAAGTAAAATCAATTTTCTGTAGATAAAACCTAACTGCGAGAAATGTTTGGATTAAAAAGAAAGAAGACGATATTTAGCACCAAATAAGAGATGGTTCCCAGAAAGTATTTGCAATAATCTTGTAGCTCTCACTTGGAAGTATTTTTCTAGTGCAGCTTTCGGTAGAGCTTGGCGCTTGAACGTTTCTTCCCATATCTGCAAGAATATATAATTCGGGTCATCAGGATCCTCAAAAACTCAGGTCAGAGGACACAACAATCAAACATGAGTTTTACCTTTTTAAGTCCATCCACCAACTGCTTTTCCAACACGTGCAATGGGACCTAGTTCCATATTAATCAATCAAACTTGTGATTATGATTTACTTTGTCAAGGAAGAAGGATAGGATGATAGAGATGAGATCTATACCCCGTTTTTATCACGAAGGACAAAGACTAGATTCACTTTTCTTCGAGTTTTACATTTTCGAATCATCACCTGAAAAGGTTAGCATGAATATTGAAAAACAAATACGTGCAAAAGACATATTTTAGGGCAATGCAACGCCAGGAATTTGTGAAAATCTTTCAGGATTAATTACAAATAACACCCTGGAAACAATCCATGATTTCCACTTTACCCCTCTTAATTAGTGTTTGTTTGGAATCTTTGGATCAATTTCCTCTAGTCTGTATGCTGTCTTCCCGGGTTGAATGTTTCCGCTCGCGGTGGAAGATTATTGAAAATTTAAGGGGTTGATTCATCAAATTGGACAATACAGAACACAAACTGATGAGGAGAAAACTTTGGTAACTTACCAATATTCAATTAATTAGGAGAATCGATAATAAAGCTTTATATACTAATTTTAGGATATGATATATAGCAGTGAATGACACAAATTTGAATAGATCGCTGGAATTAATTTCCCGGAAAGCAAATTATCATCGAGTCATGTGTATAACGTACCTCGAATACAGTTCGTAAAAGTGACCATCCCCCGCCGTTATGAAGATTAACATTGTCACATTTCCTGCTTGGTAAAGAGAAGTTCCTCAGCAAAGGTATCCAATATGGGGAATCAATTCATTAGTTTCTTTAACTTTAATAACTGCTACTCAAGACTCTATCTGGACCCTGAATTTTACAAGATGGTTAACTTATAAACTAAGACATTAGGTTTTAAAATGTTCTCCAGCGGTGCAGTTCTATTAACAAGCGGAAATCATATGAGCTCCATGCAAGTGATTTAACAGTAAGAAAGCAAAAGAAAACCATCCTTCTTTCCTCAATCACTTGCCTCTTCCTTTCCCCTCACATTTTATGCCAAAAACCCAACATGCCTATGTTGGATTCGGCATTTTTGGTGGAAAACAAGAAAGATTGGATTATCCTCAAAAAAAGTTTGTTTATCACCTTTTCATGCTTCCAACCAGCTCTTTATTTTATATACATCACATATGAATGCGGTAGAGTATTATTTTTGTACAAATATTTCTTAAAAAAAATGCAATCCAAAGGTACTTCTATGCCGACAACACTTTGCTGTGGTTACTCACAAATTTGTGGAGGCAAAGTGTGAATCTCATGAGGATACAAGTAAACACTTTCATTTTGAACCATTAGTCGTGGGGGCTAGTGGTCAGGGAATTAAACTCCCACCTAAGGTTAAAAAAAAAAAACATTTTCATTTTCATTTTTGTGGGATGAATTTAATAATTCCAAAATTACTGTACACATAACTTGAAAGAAAGTTGTGGAATGATAATACGGTAAAAAGGTAATGCATAAGGAAAGATTTTTTTTTCCTTCAAAATATGAAGAAAGGAAATTATTATTAGCACTTCCAGCTAAATAGTAGTAACCAGTAAGGAAGTTATTAATTAGACATTTCAGCTAATTAAATAGTAGTTTTCTTTACTTTTTCCTAAGAAATTTTAGTTCATAGGTAAACTTTCAATTGTATGCACAAAAGTGGATGCATTTGCTTTTATACAACAAGATAATTCCAGATGAGCCCTTAACTCTAATAAATTTCAATGGGGTAAAAACTTCTGCAGGCAGAATTCAACATGGAGAACCAAAAAGAGAGAGAGAGAGAAAACCCCCAATCACTTTTGGTTTATTGTTTTCTTTTAAGCATATTATTATATTGTAAAAACCAAGCATTATATGTGCTTTTAAATTTTAAGTAAACTCACATGTTCATTATAACTGTGTTTGAGACAACCAAGGAAAAAAGCGCTGTTTGTTTCTCAAATGTGACATCCTCCTGCAAAAGATCCAAAATAAATAAGGAAAGGAATGGACCCTCTTGTATCACATTCATAAGTTATAACCAATAATTACTAAGGCTTTCACAAATTAGACACTAAAATTCATTATCAAGACAATAGATTGGAAATCACCTCTCGCTCACATCCATCACTACCCTCTGTGTCAATAACAAGAATTGGAGAGCCACCACTTGGTGATGGGCATTTTGTCATCCAAATTCCCTTTGTCGTTTGAGCCCTGAAAACATTGTTTACAAAACGTTTTTTTTTTTAGGGAATAAACCAATTACGGACTAAAACTTGTTTCTGTGCTCAAAACAGAAGAATGAAGGGAAAAAAAAAAAAAAAACTCTCTCAGCGTGTGTGTGTAGGGGACTAGGGGGTTTTCAATTTTCATACATTCCCTTGTTCTCATCCATCACTTCAAAGGCAGTTTTGAACACACAATTCGAAAGCGTACTCTTTCCTGCATGGACCACGAACTTGTAACTAGTAGAAAAGGAAACATAGAATTGCGAAATGAATCTAAGATAAACTTAAGATGTTAGGTAAATTACCGGTACTTTGTATGCCGATGATGGACACGACAGCAGCCTTACTACTATCAGTGGTCAGATTCAGATGCTGCTCAATATCTGTTTTGAAATTCCCGTTTCTACTGATGAGCAAAGCCGGCTTAGAGGGTCTTTCTGTAGAAAGCATTTTCATCTCCAATTATTGGTGAAAGTTTTGAGTGTCAAAAAATAGATTACAAGAGAATCTTTTTAGATTACAAGAGAATCTTTTGCTAGAAAAAGCAACCCTTTTCTTTAAACATCTACCTTCCTTGATTAAGCAAGTTAGAGCTACGTGAAAATTGGATATTCAAACAGAAAGAAAGCAAGTTCTTACCCATATCCATGAGATGGGGATATCAGCTGAGAAGAGACGAGGAAAGAACCAGACAAGTTTTTTCTCTTGATTCTCAATGGCAAAGCAATTCTATTCATAGCAAGAAAAGGTCATCTTGGGATTAGTCCGGCCGCCTTTACGGACTTGACCCACCCACTCCGTCGACCAAAAAAAAAAAAAAAAAAAGGAAAGGTCATCTTGAGTCGGCGGAAGAGGTTCCTGCGGGAATTTGATTGATTGATTAAAAGGTGCACATGAACCTTTTATCAACCTATATAGTAAAAGCACGAACGGATCTGTTAAGGATGGTGGTTGTTGTGCTGATGTGGCTGTTGTTTATTGGTTGGAGGATGGTCGTCACTCATGCGTTTCTCACGTGCCAAAAAATTTGTTTTAGGGCTTCCCTTGTTTTCTTTCCCCTCATTCATCTCCGCCGCTTCGTTGCTCTCCAGAGCTCCTCTCCTCTCCCCTTCCATTTTTCCTTTCTTTTCTTTGTTCCTTTGTTCCTTTTTATTGTTCTTTATTTGGTCCTTTTTTATTATTGCTGTATTTGTGGTGTCATTTAAGCTTAGGAACCAAGCCATAAATAAGTTATCTCATCTGTTGGCTTTGGCTTTTAGTGCAAAAGTTTCATGCTTTTCAGTTTATGCTGTACTATATTACTTGATCATTTGGAGTCTTGGAGCTCAAAATCAAGATTGCATTGGTTATCACTCGAGATGTTATATGCTCAAATTTCCCAGCTCTTGTTTAGTTGTTGCTTGGGATTTTCAAAATAACTTAAATTGTCCATTTTCTTTGTTTCTTTTTCATGTCTCTGCCATTGTCAATTTCCAATGGAATTGAACTTATTTCATCTTTTGATGACTTTAGTTTGAAGTTTTTAATTATAGTTTTGAATAATTTTCAACTAATTGTGGGAAAGGAGGTTAAAGTGGCAAAATTTGTTAGATTGGTTGGTAGATAACACTTTGGCCACAAATGCTGTTACGAAAGGTGTATGTTTACCAAAAAACCTATTATTTAGAAGAAAAAATCCTTAGATCTCTTTTCCTTCTTTGACCATATAGTTTTGGATTCATGGGTTGTTTAAATTTTAGCACAATGTCTTTGGCTAAAAACTTGGTGATTATCTTTGTGTAACATTTTATAGCCTTCTTTTTTTCTACTTGTTTCCATTTTGCATATGAACAATTTATTTTTGCTCCTGTTTATTGTTGTTAACTTTTGGGTTGAATTTTATAGGGGTAATGCTTCGTTTAGTACCAGTCAGTCTAAACCCAAGCTTTGGCCTTTTAGCATAGTTCAGCTTTAGACAAGTAAGCTGTTTACACTTTATTTAAAAAAATATCTTAGTCAAATAGATGTGCTTGTATACTAATAATTAGTAGATGTCTCTGTTGATTATGTTTCTGTTAATTATGAGAAAATGATTAAGTTTCTGTTAATTATCTTTTCTACTATTTAACTTGCGAACCATTTCTTTGTGTCCTTATTTGGTGTTAAATTAGATGGATACCGGGCTCTTCATGATGGAATTAGGTATTAAAATTGTCGGCATATAATAAAGCAAATAATGGCCTTCTACTACTTTTAAGATGCTGATTCTAACCTTTTTTCTTTCACCTTTCGGTTTAATATAACCATCTCTATGAATGGAATTTTTTTTTTACAACAGTGTCTATATTGTGTATATAATAATGTAATGGAAAATTGTTCATTTGTAGTTATTGCATGTTTTATATTGTAATTGAAGATTGTTCATTTATTCTTTGGCTACACTGGTGCAGTATGGCCCGACCTATGAATTGTACAAAATCCTTTGCCCCATACTTTTGCCTTCAGGGATAATTATATGGAAAAAACTTGTCTGCCATATAGGTAATTGCATAGATAGGCGCTAATGTTGATGTTCCTGTAAGTGAAAAAAGTTAGATTAAAATGGAAGTGACAATGATAAAAGAAAAAAATCTATGATATATTTTTGGAGAATATGGTAATTGTTACTAATATTTAACTGTATGAAGTGGATTTTTACAGTACCACTCAAGAATGCCTTTGCCATTTGATTAACAAAACTACGTGTTTATTTATGTGGGAAGCAGAATCGGCCACCCTTGAAGCTTTATCAAGATCAAAGCCTTGAAGCATATGACCCTGGATACTAGATTTTGCACTAACTAGCTATCTGATCTTTGCATTACATGCTGTATATGTATGTCAGCTCTTGATGCATTATATCTCACGTGGATGGTGTTATCATAATATTTTTATTTGGTTTAAAATCTTGTGTAACTGGATGAGTTATTTTGTGCCAAGAGTTTGACCATCCCTTTTGCTACTGATGTATTGAGAGGATAGAAGTATGGCCTATATTAATAATCCTCCTCCTTTTTTGATCAAATGCAATTTATCCCACTAAGGTTGTTATGTAAGCACAATTTCTTTTCATTAGATTTCTTGAAGTTATATGCTAATGAAAACCTTTTAGTTATTGTACTACAAAGTAATACATTTTTCGGTCTTTCGGTTAGTTTGAAGTGTATGATTCTAATAACAAGGAAAAGGCTTGATGCAATACTACACTGTGCACAGTGACGGAGCCAGGATTTTTTTTTTGGGGGGGCCAAAATTGAAATTCCATTCAAAGATGACTAATTCATATATATATATATATATATATATATATATATATATATATCAACTCTCATAATATAAACTAAAATTGAAAAAATTTAGGGGGGGCCAATTTTATTTTACACACATATTTACATATTATGAATTAAAATTCTCAAAACTTAGGGGGGGCCATGGCCCCCCTCTGCCCCCCCTTGGCTCCGTCATTGACTGTGCATTTCTTTTTTCTTCTTTTTCTTATATTCCTTTATGAGCTGGAACAGCTTTGATGTGTAATGAGAACCTCTGGAATGCAGTCTACTGGTCGTAAGTTTCATAAATGCAGGCTTTTACATTATCTCATGTGCTTGTCTTTCCTTTTACGGGATTCTGGCTGTTGACATGCATCAAATGATCAAGGGTAGAATTGCATCGAGACCTGTGAAACTTCCTTTTTTTTTTTGTGTGTATTGAGTAGTTGACCATCCCCTATGCTATTGATGTATTGAGAAGATACACCTGCATTAGGTAATCCTCCTCCATTTTTGGTCAAATGCAGTTTATCTCACTACGGTTGATATGCGAGCACAATTCTTTTGCTTTCCATAGATTTCTTGAAGTTACAAGCTAATGAAGCCATTTTGGTTATTGTACTACAAAGTAATGGGTCTTTCTTTCAGTCTTTGGGTTAATTTGATGCAATTACGAAAATAGTGGATTGGTTGTATCAGAGTCTAAAAATAAGGCTAAGCCTTGCTGCAATACTACACTGCTCTCTTTTTTTTTTTTTTTTTGAGCTACAAAGTCACAGATTTTGGTGCACATAAAAAATATAAGGCAGCATTGCACAGTGTTATATTATTTTCAAACTAATGACATTGCCATTGCTGTCCAAATCAGTCAGCATACCAAAAATGACTGTCATTTAGCAACCAGACTGAAATTGTGGCTCTCTTCATTGCTTAATAAAATTACAAAAAATAATCACAAACATTTGGATGCACTTTCACGTAACTTTTTATATTGAATATCTCAGTTTGAATAATTGAATATTTCTGGGTAAACTTGAAAATTACACCGCGCATCGCACGGTGTTCCCCTCCTAGTACAATATGAAAGCAAGAAAACGCGTGCCCCAGAGGAACACCGACCAACAAAATAAAGGAATGCAACGTGTTCCTTGGCCCACAAAGATTACTTGAGGTTGGAGATGAAGTTTCGAAAAGTTTTTTGTTTTCACTTCGATCCTTTTTAGTTTGTTGCATCTACAACTACTAATTAAATCAATAAAATTACAATTAATCGTAAAAAAATTATTTTACAATTATATTATTATTCGTTTACTTTTTTTTTCCTTGGTTTCAGCAACTATCTTTTTATTTTATATATATTGTATTACAAAAATTACTATTCTAATCATTTCAAAAAAAATTTCAAATAATCTGCTATCCGAACGCATCTTTGTTATTCGTTTTTAGAGAAATAACAATCATATTTGCTTGAAATCAAGATTGGGGAAATTCAAAATAAGCTAAACCCTTTTTTTTTGTCGTCGTTTTTTTTTTGTCATTTTAATTTGGGAAATAAGGACTATATATCAGAACTATATGCAACAATAACATATATTATTTCCAGCAATTCAATTACAATCTCACTCACTTTGAGCAAATTACAACGCGGAACTAAGTCAAAGTGAGAGAGACAAGTCATAGTGTGGTATTGATATTGCAATCGACGCGTCGCTGCTCTCTCTCCAATTGCAAATTACAACACGGAACCCCTCTCCAATTGCATCTTACTACTATGTTTGATTGGTTAGTTGGGTGGCAAACTGCAATCAGAAAATACGCAGAAAAGGAGGAATTGAGAGTTCAACCACTCGGGTTGCACTTAACTGAAGTGCATTTATAGGAATAGTGTATTATTAAATTGATTGGGATTTTTTCTTAATCTTTATCCTTTCTAAGGAAGAAAAGAGAAAACTATTAATATTGTTTTCATTTGGATAGCATTTCTTGAAATTCTCTTCTTTTTTTTTTTTTGTCCTTGTAACAAAGTCTTCTTTAAATTGGTTTGTGGATAAGAAGTTAGGAATCGGCCGCACAAATTATTGAGGGTGAAAACAAGGAAACAACAGCGAAAGTGCTCATTGTTTTGTCACCATCTAAGCCAGCATGATGATTTCCAATGGAATTGGATATCGATAGGGGGGAATCCCGTCAACCAATGCTCAGCAAGCAAGATAGGATTACTTTTTGTCTTTATAGCGGGCAAAGCTAGTAACCCCAGCACTAAGCCACTAACTTACATTTGGCTCAGAACAGATCCATCATTGTCTACAAGTAAACATGCATCGTAGCGTAACCTTTTTGACTAG